TCGCTCTCCTGCTTCGTTTGTTTCCTCGTTCCTAAACTACTTGTCATCCCTTCGCTGGTCTCCCTTTCCTCTTCCTCCTCCTCCTCCTCCTCCTCCTCTTTTCCCTCCTCCTCAATCCCTTCTCCTTCTACTATATAATTCCTTCCTGTCGCACCCCAAGGCCGGCCGAAAGGGCGGGCTGGGCGTTTCGCCTGCGACATCCTCACCACTTAGGACCCTGAAGCTCAAACATTGGCAACAGTTACACAAACGGGGGTCGGGTGGTTTTCCAAAAAGTGGCTCTCGCTTCAGCGCCTCGTACACCCGCTTTAAACAATTGCAACAAGAGCTTTGCATATTGAGGGCGGGCCGTCTTAGAAATGTGGTTTTCGCTTTAGCGCCGCGCACACTCGTCCTAAATATTCGCGCAAGCTTTACGGATTGAGGGCGGATCGTTTTCAAGATGGTGCTCTCACCTTAGCGCCGCGCACAGTCGTCGCAAAAAACTGCGAGAGCTTCGCGGATTGAAGGCGGGCGGCTCCATATTGTTTTTGGACAGGGATGGTTGGCCAGCGCGCATCGGTCAATATGCCGGCAACCCCTCCATCCCTTTCAACAGCCAATGCAGAGTGGTCGCGGGGCGCCCACCGAGTGATCGCGGGGCGCCCGCGCATGTTTGGAATTTGGAGGCGAAGTTCATTAGTATTATTCCCAACCATCCTGTGGTGTTGGGTCCTCGTTTTGAAGAGACGGTGCCCCGCGTCTCCTTCCTCCTCTCCTCCTCCGCCTCCTCTCCTCTCCCCTCCTCTCCTCCTCTCCTCCCCTCCTCTCCTCCTCTCCTCTTCACCCACCCAGTACACCGCTTCGTGGCTCCATAGGGAGCTCCACCGAAGGCCCCAGTGCCCGCGCCCGCATGCGTCACCCACACCCATTTCGATTTCGGCACACCCCTCACACGCTTCGTGGCTCCATAGGGAGCTCCACCGAAGGCCCCAGTGCCCGCGCCCGCATGCGTCACCCACACCCATTTCGGCACACCCCTCACACGTTTCGTGGCTCCATAGGGAGCTCCACCGAAGGCCCCAGTGCCCGCGCCCGCATGCGTCACCCACACCCATTTCGGCACACCCCTCACACGTTTCGTGGCTCCATAGGGAGCTCCACCGAAGGCCCCAGTGCCCGCGCCCGCATGCGTCACCCACACCCATTTCGGCACACCCCTCACACGTTTCGTGGCTCCATAGGGAGCTCCACCGAAGGCCCCAGTGCCCGCGCCGCATGCGTCACCCACACCCATTTCGGCACACCCCTCACACGTTTCGTGGCTCCATAGGGAGCTCCGCCGAGGCCCCAGTGCCCGCGCCCGCATGCGTCAGCCACACCCATTTCGGCACACCCCTCACACGTTTCGTGGCTCCATAGGGAGCTCCACCGAAGGCCCCAGTGCCCGCGCCCGCATGCGTCACCCACACCAATTTCGGCACACCCCTCACACGCTTCGTGGCTCCATAGGGAGCTCCACCGAAGGCCCCAGTGCCCGCGCCCGCATGCGTCACCCACACCCTTTTCGGCACACCCCTCACACGTTTCGTGGCTCCATAGGGAGCTCCACCGAAGGCCCCAGTGCCCGCGCCCGCATGCGTCACCCACACCCATTTCGGCACACCCCTCACACGTTTCGTGGCTCCATAGGGAGCTCCACCGAAAGCCCCAGTGCCCGCGCCCGCATGCGTCACCCACACCCATTTCGGCACACCCCTCACACGTTTCGTGGCCCCATAGGGAGCTCCACCGAAGGCCCCAGTGCCCGCCGCCCACCAACCTCAGCACCACCCAAGAAATAGGCATGCGTCACCCATCCACCCATGTTCGGCACACCAATCACGACGATTCGTGAGCTCCATAGTGAGCTCCGCCGAAGGCCCCAGTGCCCGCCGCCCGCATGCGCACCCACATAAATCCCATTTGGCACACCCTACACACGTTTTTTCGTGGCTCCATAGGGAGCTCCACCGAAGGCCCCAGTGCCCGCGCCCGCATGCGTCACCCACACCCATTTCGGCACAGCCCTCACACGCTTCGTGGCTCCATAGGGAGCTCCGCCGAAGGCCCCAGTGCCCGCGCCCGCATGCGTCACGCACCCCCAATTCGGCACACCCCTCACACGTTTCGTGGCCCCATAGGGAGCTCCGCCGAAGGCCCCAGTGCCCGCGCCCGCATGCGTCAGCCACACCCGTTTCGGCACACCTCTCACACGTTTCGTGGCTGCATAGGGAGCTCCACCGAAGGCCCCAGTGCCCGCGCCCGCATGCGTCAGCCACACCCATTTCGGCACACCCCTCACACGTTTCGTGGCTCCATAGGGAGCTCCACCGAAGGCCCCAGCGCCCGCGCCCACATGCGTTCACCCACACCCAGCCAATTCGGCACACTCCCTCACACGCTTTCGTGTCTCCATCGGGAGCTCAACAGCCGAACCAAGCCCCAGTGCCCGCGCCGCATGCGGCAGCCACACCCATTTCGGCACACCCCTCACACGCTTCGTGGCTCCATAGGGAGTTCCACCGAAGGCCCCAGTGCCCGCGCCCGCATGCGTCAGCCACCCCCAATTTCGGCACACCCCTCACACGCTTCGTGGCCCCATAGGGAGCTCCGCCGAAGGCCCCAGTGCCCGCGCCCGCATGCGTCAGCCACACCCATTTCGGCACGCCCCTCACGCGGTCCCCGGCCCCATAGGGAGCTCCGCCGAAGGTCCCAGTGGGTGTGCCCGCACGCGTCCCGCACACCCATTTTGGCACACCCCTCACACGTTTCGTGGCCCCATAGGGAGCTCCACCGAAGGCCCCAGTGCCCGCGCCCGCATGCGTCAGCCACACCCATTTCGTCAACTCCCTCACACGTTTCGTGGCCCCATAGGGAGCTCCACCGAAGGCGCCAGTGCTGCCGCCC